ATGTGGTTTTGATTTGAATCTCCCTGATGGCTAATGATGATGAACATTTTTCATGTGTCTGTTAGCCATTTGTATGTCTTCTTTGGAGAAGTGTCTGTTCATGTCTTCTGCCCATTTTTTGACATGATTATCTGTTTTGTGTGTGTTAAGTTTGAGGGGTTCTTTATAGATCTTTCACCCTTCTTTTTAAATAGGATTCAGGCTCAGGTCCTCTCCATCCCCCATCCCTGTGTATAGAGAGGATAACTCTACAAGTTTAAGGTAATTCAGAGTATGTATCATTCTCTCTGAGCAGTGTGTTTGATGTTTTGTACATTTTTATGGATAACAGAGTGAGTCTGTCCTTTTTACTTCCAGGACACATTCAAATCCAGATGAATTTCATGTGAAAGTTAACAGAAGAGGAGACAATGAGTTGAGTGACAGAATTTCTGACATCAGTGGAGAGGGAGCTTCAAGAAAGCATCTTTGCAGTGATTGCAAAGCCAGAGGGTAAGTTCAGAGCTGCCACTTTGAAGCTCTTCCTCACAAAGTCATCATAATTCTATATGCCTAAATGAATTTTAAAAAAACTAAACAAGTGATCCCAAATGGGCATTCACAGAGGGGAGTATGCTGAGTGGTGCTGAACAGAGCTAATAGATTTTTGGGACTACTTCTTATTTAGCTGGTTCTATGTATTTTAAATACTTTACACTTACTGACTTATTTATTCCCCATAAGAAATCCAAGGAGGCAGGAGACCGAGGCACAGAGTTTAAATAATTTACCGAGGTATTGGAGTTAAGATCTTAGTCTGGTAATTCCAGCTGTAGATTTCCTCCTCTTAATCACCTATGAAGCTGCCTCTATTAATGCAAAAAGATTAAAACACTAAAAAATCAAAATATGGTGGTTAATAATACTAAAATAATTTTGTACCACAAGCACTAAGGTGAACTTCCCATACTTGGGGATTTTGGAAGTGGATAGCATCTAAACAGGTAAGTTTTTTATAGACTAAGATGCAGTATGCTGGGAGCACATGAATGTGTGGTTTTGTTCTGCTGTGCTTTGTGTCGAGAATCTTGTACTCACACAACATCATGCTATTCAGCTTAGCCTCCTGTCACATTTGGGGGTTTTGTTTTAGGTCAAACCTCGGTAACGGTATCTAGTTCTATGGGGACAATCAGTTATGGACTTTGTGTTCATTTTCATGAAAGTGGGCACTAGACCTTTGGTCCCTCAAAGAAATACCTTACTCTCCAAGATGAGTGCTAATGCTATGTTCTAGTGATTCAGATACCTTTCCACATTATGGATATTTTTGTCCAATGTGTGTTTAGTTCCTTCAACTTTTTTTTTTTTTTAAATAAGATGACTTCTAGAAGCATCTGCATCCTGGTCCTTTTCTGAATATTCTAGTTTGTAAATATCTTTCCTAAAATTAGACTCTTAGAGTTGGATACAGCACTGCAGAACTGGCCTGTCTCCTGAGTTCCAAACTAATATTTCCACTTGCCTACTCAACATCTCCATTTGGGTATCTAATAGACATGCTGCTACGTGTTCAAAACTGAACTCTTGATTTCTATTCTACAAACCTGTTCTTTCTATAATGTTTGTATCTCAGTAATGACAATTCGATTCAGGTAGTTGCTGCCATGGCCAGATCCCTGGGCCATTCTTGGTTTGTGTCTTCCCACACTCAGTTCCCGATCCATTAACAAATCCGATTGGATTTACTTTGAAAATATATTCCCAATCAGTCTCTTCTCACTATCATCTTTGCTGCTGTCCTCTCCTAGGCACTGTTAACTCTTGCCTACATAACTCCAGACTAGACTCTGCTTCCATACTTGCCCTCTTGCAGTCTGTTTTCCAGATCAGGTCACATAATTCAACTCTTTAAAGAGTTCTCACTTAAAATGAAATCCAAAAATCCTCGTCATGGTGTCCCAGTTACTACTGCTCTGTATAACAAAATGTGACTCAAAATGTAGCAGTTTAAAACAACTGTTTTATTATGCTATGGATCCTGTGGGTCATTTTGGACATGACATAGTAGGGAATGCCTTGTTTCTGCTCCAAATTCTTTGAGGCCTTAGCTGAGGAGACATAATGGTTGGAGGCTGGAATCATCTGGAAGGCTTAGACACATGTCTCCTTTGTGAATTAGGATTATTTGAAGTCTAGGATTGCTCACTAGGGGGTGGGAAGTGGAGGTTATGTGTGCCCTTTGTAGATATGGCAGACTTAGGAAAGTCATGTGGGGGCTCAAGGTTGCAGGCATCAGTGTTCCACTAAATAAGACAGAAGGCATATCATCTTTTATGATCCAGTCTCAGAAATGATATAGTCATTCATGTTCTGCTGGTCTGAGCAGTCTTTTTTAAGAAATATTTTATTTATTTGACAGAGAGAGAGAGATCACAAGTAGGCAAAGTGGCAGGCAGAGAAAGAGGGGGAAGCAGGCTCCCCGCTGAGCAGAGAGCCCAATGCAGGGCTCGATCCCAGGACCCCAAGATCATAACGTGAGCCGAAGGCAGAGGCTTAACACACTGAGCCACCCAGGCGCCCCTGGTCTGAACAGTCTTATTTAAGCCTACCCACATTCAAAGGGAGGGGATGGAAGACACCTCCCCTCCACTGAAAATTATTAGAGACTTTTGAGGCCATGTTTGTAAATAAGCCACACATGGCCCACAAAGTCCTATATTATTTGGCCCCTTGTTGCTTCTCCCAGATGACTTCTCATTACTCTTCCTCTTGATAATTTAGAAACTGAATTAAGACAAGAATAAGCTGGTCATTCTCTAAACAGAGAATAAACAGAGTCCCTTTTTTTGGAAAAGGATAATTTAACATTAAATGATCCGAAAAGATAAATTTACTGCAAAATCTTCAAGTTTTGAGATGACACTAAAATCTTATAGAAAGTAACACAGCACAGTGAACTTCTGAAAAACACCAGGACAAATTTACCCTAATCTAAAACGCAA